GAGAGCTACACTGTGGCCGTACACGACGCTCGGCCGGGCGCAGCCGCAGGGGCAGTGCAGGCGGAGGGGATGAAGAGGAGGGAAGGGAAGAGGAAGAGGAGAGAGGAGGAAGAGGAGGAGGGAGGGGAAGAGGGGAGGAAAACAAGGAGGAAGAGGGAGGGGTCCTGTCTGAAATGGTTATAGAGCCGTGATGGCGAACCTATGCCACACATGCTGGAAGTGGCACCCAGAGCCATTTGTCCGGGCACACCAGCCATCACCCGTTGCTCTTCTGGCCAGCTGGTCTTCACGCGCGCGCAGAAAGACCAGGTGGCCGGTGTGAGGATCTGAACCCAGCGCCTGCGTCCAACCAGGTGAGGATTTGAACCCGGGGCCTGGCCCAGCCCCAGACACGCCCCCCTCCCGTTGCCAGGGCCTTACCTGTAGAGCTTGTACTTGGAGGCGAAGGCCTTGCCGCAGTGCAGCTGAGGGCAGCAGTACGGTCTCGCTTCGGGGCTGGCTCTCAGCTTCTCCACGCCGGGGAAGGCCACTCCGGACAGCTCGTACTGGCACTTCTTCCCTGGGCACTCGCTCTCTCGGGCTTTGGGCCTGGCCACTAGTTTCCAGCCCACCTCCTCCTCCTCCTCCTCTTCCTGCTTGGCATCTTGAATCCAATGGGGAACACTGGCGAAGAAGGCGGTCATGGCAGGCCTGACGTCGGAGGAGGGCCACGCCGAGGAGAAGGGCTGCCCGCGGGCATCTCACTGGTCCAGTCGCAGCCACCAAGACTTTGCAGGAAAAAAAACCCTCAGTGGAGATCCTGGAAGGAGCAAAAGACGAGAGGGGGAAATGACGGACAATCCACACAGTGGCTCCCGTCTGATACAGGCGGTCCTCGACTTAGGACAATGGAGCCCAAACATTTCCGTTGCTAAGTGAGACGGTTGTTCAGGGAACGTTGGCCCATTTTATGACCTTTCTTACCATAGTTGCTAAGGGAATCACGGCCATTATTAACTCAGTAACCTGGTTGTTAAGTGAATTCTAGTTCATGAGCCACGGTGGTGTAGTGGTTAGAAGGTTGGGCTATGGTCATAAGCCGAGGACTTCCTGTCTTAGGTTCTTACAACAAGACATGCCCTCTTCTGTTGTCGGAATACAGTCGCATCTGCTCTACTTTTTTTAAAAAATTGATTTTCTATTAAACAAATTTCTTAGTGCTTAACAATCATCGTGTTGTCTGGGTATTTCATTTCCTGACATGTTTGTTAAGTGACTCACTGCAGTTGTCAAATTAGTCACGCGGTCATTAAGCAAATCTGGCTTCCCCCATGGGATCTGCGTGTCAGGAGGTCACCAAAGCGGATCGCAATGCCCCCCCCCCCCCCGGGGCCCTGCAACTGTCGCAAAGGCGAGTCAGTTGCCAAGCATCCCAATATAAATCACTGGACCATGGGGAGGCTGCAACGGTCGTGAAGTGTGAAAAACGGTCAGAACTCCTTTTTTTTTTTCCAGTGCTGTTGTAACTTCGAATGGCCGCGAAATGAGCTGTTTTTAAGTCAAGGACGGCCTGACTTTAATGAGGAGGAGGAGGACGGGTTCAACTTTATTCTAATTCATAGCGAGGCATGCAGGTGGTACACACACACACACACACAGAGAAACTCGCAATGTTTGCGTACCTGCTTAGGAATTTGGTGAGCAAACATGGCAGCCTTCCACTCAGTTTGCACCTGGTCCAAGTAAGTCAAACAAACGACAAAGTCGTGTAACCTCAAAGAGGTTATGAGGCCAGTAATTTTCCTTAGAGCTTCTGCTATCACCAATCGGAAGGGATAGCTTCCCTCATTTAAAAGGTGGCAAATGTATACACAGGTAGTCCTCGACTTACGATCCTGACTCATCATCTCCTTTTAATGACTTCATAATCCCCTGTACCGTGGGGTCTGGGCAACTGAATGGAGCTAGCAGCGTGTTTCCTGGCCGGATGCCCCTCCTGTCGCCAATGTGGAGTTTAGTTCAGCAGATAAGATTCTCAGAGAGAGAAATATCAGCCTCTACCTAGGATTGAACTCACAACCTCCAGATTGTGAGGCGAGAGCTCCACCTGTAGGCCACTGCACCATTCCTGACTTACAACCCCCAACTGACACCCAACATTTCTGTTGCTAAGCGAGACGTTTGTTAAGTGAGCTTTGCGAGCCCTTGTGCATCTGTAGCTCCTTTTTCATCATTAGACTACCTGTCGCACGCAGAAGATAACAGAAGCGCAGAAGTGTTTAGGAAAGGAAACAGGAACTTCAAGATGTCATATGGGGGGGAGAGAGAAAAAGTATTACTGTTTCCTACATTGCTATTTTTTGTTTTGGAAAGGGGTAAAATGTCCCGTTTCTGTTAGAATACTTTTAGCTCAGGGTTGAATGGTGGGGTCCTGGGTGCTCTCTTGAGCTTGGTGTTTTTCTTGCAGACATTTCATGACCCAACTAGGGAACATCATCAGTGCTAGAAGGGAGGGGGGTTTGCAAATAGGAGGAGGAGGAGGAAGAGGGGGGAAGGGAAAGGAGGAAGGGGAGGAGGAAGGCAGGAGAGGAAAGAGGAAGGAAAAAGGAGGAAATTGCCAGTGGGATCTTTGGTGATCTCCGAGCTTGGTGTTTTTCTTGCAGATATTTCATGACCCAACTAAGCAACACCATCAGTGTTAGAAGAGATGGAGGTTTGTAGAGAGGGAGGGAGGGAGGGGAGGAGAACTTTGGATGTCTTTGGTGTTTTCTGAGCTTGTTTTCTTGTAGATGCTTCATGATCAACTCATCAGTGCAGAGAGGAGGAGGAGGAAAGAAGAAGAAGAAGAAGAAGAAAAAGAAGAAGAAGAAGAAGAAGAAGAAGAAGAAGAAGAAGAAGAAGAAGAAAAAGAAGAAAAAGAAGAAAAAGAAGAAGAAAAAGAAAAAAGTGGGGTTCTTGAGGCTCTCTGAGTTGGGTTGTATTTTTGCAGACAGTTTGTGACCATCTTCAGTGCTAGAAGTGTAACAGAACAGGAAGCAAATCCCACTCCCTTACAGTACTGATGTTACCTAGTTGGGTCATGAAATTTCAAGAAAACAACCAAGCTCAGAGAGCACCAAGATTTCCCCCACAATCATTCTCTTCCTCCTTCTCCTCCTCCTCTCCACTCTCTCCACCTCCCTTCTAGCATTGGTGAAGTTCCCCAGTTGGGTTATGAAACATCTGTAAAAAAAAAAAAAGTCACTACCAAATGCAAAGAACTCCACAGTCCCCTTTCTCTTATAGCAGCAAAGCCAAGTAATGGGTTTCAGTTTGGTCTGCTTAGGTGGAAGCGGGGTCCTCGTCTTGCCAGGACCTCAAGAGACCAAGCAAGTTGTTTGCACAGACCAAGAGAAAAAGGAGGAGAGGCCCCTCTGACCCTGCTGGATGCCACCTGGAGCAACCCAGCCCTGAGATGTGGCTCCATTTAGGGCAGCTTTTCTCAACCTTGGCCACTGTGGATTTCCACTCCCAGAATTCCTCTAGCCACAATGCGTTAAGATGGGTAGATTTCCACTCCCAGAATCCCCCAGCCAGAATGCTTTAAGATGGCTGGACTGCAACTCCCATAATCCCCTAGCC